AGCTCAGCCTCAGACAGGTACATTCCAATTTCAACACGACAGTAAAGTAGTTCTCTTTCACACACAACTTTTTCTTAGTTTGAACCTTAATTGAGGAAAAGATAATAAATCTAAAAAATATGCAGATTTGCATTTCCATTTAAATCTGTTTAAACCTGTTTCTGTATCTAGCAATAACATTTAAACATACTGAAGTCTGATTTGTTATTAGACTTCRCTAAAAATATGTACGAGTATGGTCCAAGACTTATCGGTGCTGATTTCTATGCATTTTATGCATTATATGCATAGCCKATCTATGACTAACACAAAACAAGTAATCAACTGATTTCCAGTTAAAAACTTTGTATTAATCTGATCTAGTCCTCTCTTATTTAGATAAAAGTCCAGACTCTGGAAATCCCAATTGTATAACATTTAGGGAAACTAATCCCAATGATAGCATAATTTTTTTTTTTTTTTTTTTTTTTGCGCTTCAGAAAATGTAATATCTGAAGACTTGTACAACCCAGAAATGTGCCTAACTACTACCTACTGTTCTTCTACAATCAGTTTCTTACAAAATGAATATATTTTTATAGAAGTTACAAAGGGTCAAATTCTTATCAACCACTTGAAACCAGTTCTCCTCCACAATCAATTGATTGCTTTTTAATGACTAGCATTGATTTAGAGTCTTTAAAATAGAGGAGAGAGCCAGGCTGCGAGCATGACAGCCATTATGTTCCTGTGATGCTGTGCCTTTCCTGAAGTGAATGCAACAGGAACATCCTTGTTTGTGCATTCCTGCTAAGAATGAAAACTCAGATCATAAAATAATTTTTGAAAGTCAGAGATGCTATTACAGAAGTTGATAAGACTTGTTAATGTGTCTCATTCTTTAGAAATCAAGTATTCATTACAAAACTGTATTACCGATAACTGTGAAACTATCTTTTCTTGCCTCGTGATAGCACAAATCACCATCTGTAAATCTTTTTTCCCCACAGAAAAGTAACACAGTAAGAAACAAAAGTAAAGGTTGTTGTAGTAATTAGTCACTGTACTATCTGTGGCAAGTAGCCTTTCATGAGCTCTAGGATTTGAGGAGACTGACCAGAAAAGCTTCAGCTAATAATTCTTTTAATATTCATCCCGTGCACAATTGGCAAGCAGCAAAGAGAAGAAGAGCCCTGATTAACTTCTGTGCCTAGGATCTAATGACCTGCTAGGAACTCACTTGGGTCCCAGAGAATTCAGTTCATTCTGTAATATTATTGCCTCTAAATATCAGCGTAACTGTCATCTAGAAAATCTGAATACGTATTTATGTCCCAGATACTGGAGTTCTGTGGACTCCAGCTGTCTTGAATTAGGTGAGGATGTGACTTCCACGCATAGTTTATGTATTTCTGTTCTTTCTCCTTGGATTTTTTTTGCTATCGATTCAGCCCTTCTCTTTCTCCAACATATTTCCTGTTCTAAAAAAAATCAATTTTACAATAATTATCGCCTGGAATCTGGGATTTGTATTTACTACAACTATTGTTTTTTTTTTTCTTATATTTTCAGAAAGAAAGAAAAGCTGAATATTGTTTCAGAAAGTAGTATTTTTCTTCATTAAGTCATTTTTGTTTTAGGAAATAAACTTTATAAAAGTGTTGTCAATCATAAGGAAGGAGGAACTGAAAAATATTCCAACCAGTTTCAGTAAGATATATTTTCTAGTTTAGGTATCATGACATTYCAATAGGAGATAGAAAATTATATACATTTATTTCCAAATGCAGTCTGACTGATACTGCTAAGCTTTGGGTTTTGCAGTACAGCAGACACAAACTGCTGGGAGGCCATTCCCAGTATGGGTCTATGAGACTTCATTTCAGACACAGATGTACCAAAAATCTATTGGGGAAATCTGAAGAAGTGTAACAAAACATTAAAATCTCTGATAATCATGGAAAATGTAATTATAGAATGAAATAGTACCAAACATCATTCTTTACAGACAATAACATATTTGTTTGTTGTATCATTTAATCTCAAAAGACGAAAGATCAGAAGCACCCTCTAGAAAGAGTATCCTACTGAGAATGCTAATCTGGATAGAGTACCTGGTTTAGTCCTTAAAATTGGAAAGTGCTATCTTCCATTAAGAGAAAGTTCATTTAAAATTTCTAAAAATTTAGCATTGAAACAATTATGTCACAACCCAGAATGGAATTTAACTGAAAACAGCCGAATAACAGATCAGTAAAACCAATTCCATTAAAACATAAAAGAGTAAGAATCCAACAGATTTTGTCTCATCCACAATTGCCAAGAGTTTAATTTTCCTAAGAAAAAAACTGGGACAGAACCTTGTGTAACATTTGCTCTTTGTGCACTTCACTGGAAAGACAACCATAACAAAAAAATCACTTGTTTTCCAGCTGTTACACACCTTGCCTATGCCATGCTTTTGGTAGCTTTTCTCATCCAATGGAGGTATTTATAAAACAAACAAAAAACAAACATAGAAATGTGATGATTCATCAAAAGGTGGATTCTTATTAATTTTAGCAAATGATGTAACTAGCAACATTAGCGAAGATATTGAATAAAACTGAAGAGCACTGTTTTGCTGACTTACACACAACCACCAACATAGCTAAAATAACCATGAACACCTAATGGTCTGCAACATCAGCATGTGATAAGCAAATTAATTCTYACAGAAGTCTGAATTACATAAGCTCATGTCAACATCCATCATCTTTTGAATTCATGTTAGTTGGTTTGAAAGAAAATAGATGCAACATGAATGATATATTCATAGTTTTTGGCTATATTCTGTCATCCAGACATGGCAAATCATCAGTTTTAAAGATAACTCTTGCAGCCTTTGTTTTCAATAAGGAAACTATCCAGAGAATATTTCTCCCTTAACAACACATGTTCCATTATTTCACCTGGCTGCCAACATTAGCATTGAAGAGACAAAAGGAAGAAAGGTTTTCTTATGTGCAGTAGTCCCTCTTTTTGAGGGAGGCTAGACATAAAATCATTGGTCAGGTGAGCTTAATGACACATTTATGGACTAGGGAAACTGTCAGGAGCACAAAGAACTGGAGTCAGTATATATCCCAGGGCTGAAATAAATTTTAGATGAAAATCTAGTTTCTCTCATTGCCCTTGGCTGTCAAAAAAAGCTTGCAAGGAATATGAGTGGGAACTGGAAACAGGAATCTCTCCATTTAGAGGTTGGTACTTCTGACTTCATATGCTGGATATATTTCTGCCACCGTCCACTTGAGAGCAAAGCATTTCTTGCAATGACTAAGTTGCTTTTACTTTACTGCTCTTGTATGAGTATCAGCTCAGTAGAAATATGTGTACAGACATAAACAAATAAATATTGCCACTTGTCAGCCAAAACTTTCAAAATCTTTGAAGTCCCACATGCCCTCAATTGGAAGCAATGAACGATAAGCCAACATAAATCACTCTCATTTATGAATCCAGCACCAACCACAGAGAAACTAAGTTGCTTTCTAATACAGAGATCTACCCCACTACACAAGTCCTGGAATCTGCATGAGTCTTCCATTAAAGGTTACAAAACAGAAGCTTTATACCAATAATATTTCCAAGAACAGAAATCAGTCAATAATACTTCTGGGAACTTGCACAGAGTTCATCATTTCCCCATCTGGTTTAGCTGGGGCTCGCCTACTGAATCCTAGACACTTTTAAATGCTAGTTGACAAAACAAGGTCATCTCTCTAGTTCAGTGGTTTTTTCTGGCTTGGCTCATTCTTTTCTGGTTTTATGTCTAAATGTTATTTTTATAGGATTTAACATCCTATAACAAGTTATTTTTAACGTACTCGCTTCTATGACTCTATGTCAAGCTTGCAAATAGTTCTCCTAAAACAGAACAGGCAAACACCAAGCCTGTAAACTTTGCTACAGTTTCCGTCTGGAAAAATTATTTTCATTTGAAAAGGGTAATCAAACTCCTCATTATCCAACTTGCACTTAAAGCTGCCTTTCATTAAACTTTTTATTTAATAGACAAAGGTTAAAGCACAGCTTGAAAGTATGTGCCTAGATGTCCATTCACTAACTAACAAAGTGCTAAGAATTTGGGCAAGTGCACACACATCCACACCTAGTGATGTGAGAGACTCCCCCCGGACACTCAGAGAGGTGCATTCCATCTCTGTACCTGCCAGCAGCCACAGAACACCTGGGCGGCTCAGTCAGAGCACAGCAAAGAGCACTGCACCAAAGCAACCAGAGCTAATCACATGCAGGAACTGCTACTAGTATYGAAGGTAAATTTATATGCACTGTAAAGGTAATAACTAAAATTACGCTRATTTCACTTAGAAAGACGTTATTAAGTCTAAAAGCAACTCTACAACATTCTTAATTACTTTGTGGGACCTTTCCAGAAGAAATCTGGAAAAGGATGTTTATGTTACAAGGTTCACTGGTGTACTTAGTAAAAGGATGTTTGCTGGAATATACAGAGAATGACTCCATGAGACTCAATTATATTTTAACCACCAATTTTGGATGATGCTTTTCTTTCAGAGCTTTAAGAAACCTAGATATATGAATAGTAATCATACATTTAAAAATACGCATTATTCCAAGTGTTATCAAGTGCAATTTCTGTAACGTGGACACTAGCTCCAAAATAATCTTTCAGTATAGCAAATGCCAAGCGTTCAAAAATCACACAATGGTAATACTGATTTTATCTTGTGCTTACGGGCTGCATGGCAAGGAAATGAGGAAGAGTATTTTTCCATTAACTCTTTGCAACAGGATGGTAGTTGCAGGGAACAGTAAGCTAAAACTACAAGAAGATTAAAAAACGCCTTCAAACACACACAGGAAAAAAAAAAAAAGAAGAATACAGAAAAAAAGCCACACATATCATTAAAAACCACATACACCCACAGAGGACAGGGAAGGGTAAGCTTGTAAGAAGTACAGTCCCRGCGCAAATGATTTACATTTACTAATACCATTTGTGAGCACAGAGAAGTAAAGCTTTCCTGAGAGTCATGGGAAAATACTTCAGCTGATGGAGACTTGTGCTGCTCCCCTCCCTGCACATTCTTCCACTGCGCTCACACCACACCACCTGTCTCCTATCTGTGTGGTCACAGATGCAGCCATTTACTGGAGCAGCAGCAGCCCCATCCAAGAAAGGACACATGCCTACTTGCCTAAACTTGATATCCTGCATGCACTTGCAAAAAAAAAAAAAAATCCTCAAAAAGATCCTCAAAGATTACAGATGAATAAAAAGAGAAAGTGGTGCTATAGCAAGACTAGTAATATATCCTTTAAAATACATATGCTTAGATATATTATAAAAGAATATCTAATATCATTTGTGGTAGTGCATGGACAAAGGAAATCAGACATGAGAGAAGACAAATCATTCCTGACTTAGCATACGAATGTTTAAAAAAGTCTACTTACAAAAGTAACTGTTTAGGAGAACACAAAGTTCAACYGGAAAAAGTAGTCAACTTCCCAAATTTTAAGATCATAAAAAAGAAAAACACCTTTTATGAAATGAAGCTGAAATGCATGTGAGAGAAAAGCATAGCTAGAAGCGACAATGCGAAACACTGCCTACCATGCAGGTGAAAGCAAGAGACAGCTAAGTACCTGGAGAGTATGGAGATCAGCTATGTCATGAAATAAATTATTTGCGCTGTAGTCAAGGGAAGGCAGCTTTCTCTGTTGTCTCTGAAGCAACCAACTATGGAGACTTTAATGGTACAGCTCAGGATCTATTCTAATGGTATAGCTCAGGATCTATTCCTGCCTCTTTGCTCATATGAGGAAGAAATTAACTTTTTTGCAAAATATATTCAGTGCAAACGCCATTCTGGATACATGTGCGAGCTCCTCCSCTGCCGGGAGAGAATGCGCCAAGAGAGCCAAGACTTGCTTCTCCTCCTTCACCTCTCACCAACTGGCAGMAACACAGCAGTAACAAAAGCTGTCCCTGAAAGAGCTGAGAAATATTCATGGAAGACATAAAAGGAAAGAGAGAAAGCAAGTGAAGAATGATGAAAAGTGAGATGGAACATTACGTTTGCCTTCAGTGGTCATGAGGGAAATGTGAAATGGAAAAAAAAAAAAAAAAAAAAAGCTTCCTCGAAAAATTAGCAGTTCAGCACAAGTGTAATGTAAGAGAAATTACTGAGAGATGGAAAATATATGCAATAATGATCCATTCCACATTAAAAGGAAAGAGGAGAGATGCAGGGGAAAAAATAAGCTACTCTCTAGGAAAGGCTCTTACCCTGAGAAATTTCAGAACTTAAGAGAAATATGTTGGGAAATATTAATCAGCAAATTTTCTAAATGGTAGATGATTCCTAAAAGCGTGATGGTAAAAAAACATACACACACGAGGAAAAACAAAAAGGCATGAGAAAAAGGAAAGCAGCATGAATGAGAGCATAATTTGTTATGACTGCAAATGTGACTGCTGATTAAAAACAAAAAAGGCACAAAAATGAAAAAAAGGCATTTTGTGATTACTGTAAAAAATAATCAAGTCATATTGTCACATTCACAAAACTTTAATGAACAAATTTTYAGAACCTGAGGGAATCACAGAAAGCTACGCTGGGGTACCTTCTGAAAAGAAAGAATGTAGAAGATGAAATGTCCTTTCCTATAAAGCCTTATTAGAACTGAGGAGGACATAGCCAGACAGTGTTTGGCACAGTAGAAGTGGAAAACATATTTTGTGTTGGGAAGAAAAGACAATGATGTAAAGACAGTGTGGTAACAGGAAAGATCCTGAAAATGTTCTAAGCGCTTCCTATAACAGTCCGCAATCCAAAACAGTAACCATTGTGTTTTGGGAGAATAGAGCAAAGCAGGTACCAAATGCTCTACAGTAAAACAAGAACAAGGACAAGCCAAACAGTTTGAGACTCTCTTCATTAAAAAGAAGATACTGACAGAATTAACAATATTTAAGTCTTCCTTATATCTCCTGTACTTCATAGTTCGATTTTTTAAAAAAAGTTTTCTACTTCAAGTTTCAAGCAGAAGTGTTGGTATCATCTAGTTTATAACATCAAAAAGTCTAAATGCTACATTTCTCTCATCTTCACCTCAGAATACTCTGAGGGGATTAGAACTTAGCGTTAAGCAACATACCTGGAAAAAAACACCCAACAACATATAGAACCGTAACTTACCAAAGTAAAAGAAAGGGGAAAAAAAAAAAAAAAAAGACCTCCAGGCATTACTGGGCAGTTACTCCTTTTCTCTTTTTTTTTTTCCTCCTTATTCTAGGAAGAAGGGAGAGGCACATAGCTAAGCAGGAAACGCATCTCTGCTGTAAGGAGGTTTCTTTCATTCAGCATTCAAGTGCTGCTGCAAAGTTAGTGGCTCTCCAGTGGTGTCTGAGTCACCGCAAGCAGCAAGAGACAGGCTGCGGCTGTTCCACGTTTTCTGCTCTAACCTGAGGGGATGCATTCAGCACTGCACAGATTCATCCAGCTCTTGCTGGAATTCAAGGAAAGCCCTCATGTTTCATCTTGGTAAGTTCATCTCATTAGCTTGCATTTCCAAAGGGTATGCATTTTTTCCCACTATACAGATGTTCATACTGACAAAGGCACTATATCATTTTGAGATTAAGAATTCTGCATTCACTATTTCTACCATCAAGCCCTCCTATGTGATAATGAAACCTTATGAAACCATTTGTGTATATAGCTGAAACTTACAGCTTAAGTTTAGAGAAGTCTAAAACAAAGTCATTTAATAAAACCTGAGTGTCTAGTACACTCCAAAAATGAGAGTTACTAGGTTGAATGGGAGTTACAAAAGTCATGGTTCAGGTGGATCAAAAAATAGTTAGGATTCCTCTTTCAATCCTTAACTTTGCACGGTCCTGCCTAAAGGAAAAAGAGTTTATTGTTTTTTATAAAGCTGCTGCTTCTGAGACCACCTGGGACTTCCATTCCAGTGCCCATCATTAGTCCTGTCGTGTAGGAAGATGCAATCATGGATCTGCAACTCGGAGCTCCYAGCCATGAGGGCTCCCACAGAAAGGCACCCAATTCACTCTCTCAATGCACAGTCCATCCCTTCTCAGCCTACAGCACCACAGTTCTCCACAGCCCTCCCTTTCTGATGCACCAGATGCTCCCTCTCTTTTAAATATAACAACGCTTTAGAACAAAAATAAAGGCACATAAGCAGACATGTTCAGGCAGTCATTTTCACACATTCAAGTAAGTCCGGTGGGTTTTTGTGCTAGAAGCAAACCAAGGACAGACTTATTCTTCCATTTGCCCCTTCTTCCAGATTTGCCCATTTTGACTCCAGTATTTTCCTCCCCTCTTTCCTCTTCTTTACTAAGAGTAAATCCAGTTCCTTCATGAGCATTCTGCAACAGTACAGCCACATACTTCTACACRGTATCTTTCTTCATGCGAATACGCTTAATGAGACATCAGTGTTTATGGGATTGCACTCCTGCACCTCACTCTTTCCTCACTGACTTGGACACACTAMAAGATGAAAGGGGTTGTCAAAGCTGCTGCTACCCAGCCCAGAGCTGCTTCAGCACTGCACCTTGGCAGCGGCGGTGCCTTTGCTGTAAAAGGATTTCTGCAACAAAGCATTCACCAGCTTCCCCCGTTTCATCCAGCCGAACACCAGCAAATTCATCTTAAAGGTTTGGGTGGGCTGCCTGACAGCTGATATCAGCACGTCAGCAGATGAATACAGTTTATCTGCAGGATGAGCTGCCAGATTAAATTTCTGCTAGTGACTGACTAAATATTCTTTTCATACTTCAGTTTTTATCAGAAGTACTTTACTTTTTTACAAAGCTAACCACTTAACTTTATAATCATGTAAATAGTCTTGCATTTTTTTTTTCTTCTTTCCCCTGAAGTATTTTAAATAATTACCTTTTGGCCCTTTTCCTCTCTGGCACACTAACAAAATAGCAATCCTTTCAAATTAAGAGGTTATTTATTGAAGCAAAACACACCTGAACAGTTTATGCTGGATTAGGAGAGGAGTCACTATCTCATAGCYAAAGCATCTAGCTAGGGATGCAGAGATCTGCATGATATTTTGGCTCTGCCACATGATACGCAAGGCAACTGATTCCCCCCGAGAACCTGCCTCCCAGGACACCTCATTCACATTATCCAGACAGGGCTTCTCTTTCCTAATGCAGTTCTTTCTGTATCAGCTCAGCATCTGATGTGATCCCTATCATTGCTTTAATTACTCAAAATCTCATTAGTTCTTGGCTGGGCGAAGGTCATATGACAGCCTGACTACAGAAAATTACTGAAGCAAAAAGTCTGGGTTTGATTCTCAAGCCTTTGCCTTTAGCTCACATCAGAAAAACACTGATAGGAGCAGAGAGCCAGGCTCATCCATGATTAAATTCAACTGCTTGTACTGCAACTGTGCCACTAATTAATTTGATATGTATTATTTTATATTTTGTGTGGTATGTGGCATTTGGAAAGATGCTATTTTGATCTCTTACTGCTTTTGGGCATCACATAAAGATTCAAGACATCCAAGCCATGAGGAACCTCACCGAGACAGTGGTCTCTTACAGTCAGGGCACACGGCTGGCACTCCTCCCCGCCGACACCCACAACAGCTCTGCCCGAGAAGGACGCACATCTCGCACCACGCTGTCCTAACTAAGCAGGGCACAAACAACTATGGTAAGTTTTACCTAGGCACAGACTACAGACTCCTCTCAACACAGAGCACCGTGTGCAAGCTGCCATCTTCTACGCAGCTTTATGGGAAACTTGCTACACCTCCACTCCTCTGGCTGTAAATTATCTTCTCCTATAAATACACATGGGCAGCTTTACTGTACTGCTGTTGCTGGGCTGCAGTCACATGAAATTGAACATGGAGTCTAATTAACTATTCTCCCTAACCTTGCAGAGAGTTTTGCAGTCATATTAGGTGAATTCATTTGGTTGAAATTAATTGGGCATTGCACATGGAAGACAGGA